TTTGCCTCAGCCTCCTCAGTAGCTGGGACTACAGGCGTGTGCCACCACACTTGGCTACTTTTTTGTATTTTTAGTTGAGATGGGGTTTCACCATGTTAGCCAGGATGGTCTTGATCTCCTGACCTCATGATCCGCCTGCCTTGGGCTCCCAATGTGCTGGGATTACAGGCGTGAGCCACTGCGTGCAGCCTATTTTTAAATTTTTTTTTTTTTTTTTGAGATGGAGTCTCTCTCTTGTCACCCAGGCTGGAGTGCAGTGGCATAATCTTGTCTCACTGCAACCTCCGCTTCCCAGGTTCAAGTGATTCCTCCTGCCTCAGCCTCCCAAGTAGCTGGGATTACAGGCATGTGTTACCACGTCCGGCTAATTTTTGGATTTTTAGTAGAGACCAGGGTTTCACCATGTTGGCTCCCTCTGCAGAAGGTGGATGGGGAGGCAGGTGGGCAGGCAACAGTGAATGGTCTCAAGCTCCTGACCTCAGGTGATCCACCTGCATCAGCCTCCCAAAGTGCTGGGATTACAGGTGTGAGCCACCGCATCTGGCCTTCTCTTTTGCATTTAGCGTCAAGACAGGGAGATCAGCATTTTCTCACAAACTTTGGAAAATGTTAAGGGAAAAGAAAGAGGAAAAAATAATAAGAAAAGTAGAAATTTCCATTGAATCTCTTTATAGCCACTTACATTTTATAACCCATGTGGCTCTACTCAGAACTTACCAGGCCAATATGGTGCCCTGACCTTGAGGCATTTTTGCCATTAAAAGTAGCCAGGTGAGAAAGGGCTGCCACGCCGTTCAGTCCAGCCAGGTTCCTCAAGACACAGCAATAGCGGCAATAGAGGCCAAGTGTGGTGGCTCGTGCCTGTAATCCTAGCACTTTGAGAGGCTGAGGTGGGAGGATCATCTAAGGTCAGGAGTTCAAAACCAGCCTGGCAAACATGGTGAAGCCCTGTCTCTACTGAAAACACAAAAAAATTAGCTGAGTGTGGCGGCAGGCACCTGGAATCTCAGCTTCTTGGGAGGCTGAGGCAGGAGGATCACTTGAACCGGGGAGGCAGTGAGCTGAGATTTCGCCACTGCAATCCAGCCTGGGCAACAGAGCGAGACTCTAGGTCAAAAGAAAAAAAGTCGGGGCCGTGCGCCCTAACACATATCATATTTTGGCACTGTTTGAAGTCCCTTACTTATGTAGGTAATCACAGTGACTCATTTAATCCTTATAGCGACTCATCAGGTAGCTGCTGTTATTACCCTCATTGTAGACATGAGGAAACTGAGGCACAGAGAGGTTGAGTAACACTTGCTCACAATCATGTAGTTACTAAGTGGTAGAGCTGGAATTCAACCCCAGGAAAGCCACTTGGGAGTCCCTTCTCCTAATCTCTGTGCTATTTTACCTCCATGAGCAAATGATGACAAGTTTTGCTAAGAATATAGGGAGCCCGAGGTAGGAGAGGAATGTGCCCTTTCACAGCCCTAGCCCCAGGCTCTGGACACCCTTCTGGCTTCGTAATCATTCTGCCAAGGTGCTCAGACTCACTTAGCACAATTCCCAGACGCAGAGGGCCCAGGCTTCTCTTTGATGGCCCAGTATTTCTGCCTCACCAGGGGAGACAGTGATTCGTTTAGCTTGAAGCAGAGTCCTCAGCAGCCTTCTCAGGAAGCGGGATCCCCGCCCTCCCCAGTGGCTGAGGACCTGCTGGCTCTGCCTCCCTGGTGACTTTCACAACAGCTCTCCAGGCTGGGGAAGCAGGTGGAGCCACTTTCCTAAGCTGTGTCTGTCAGGACCTAAAACCTTCACGAACTCCTGTACTCCACCCAGGGCATTTCAAGCAGAGAGCATGACATATACAAAAATTGAGGAGTGAGAAAAAGCTGGGCATGTCCACAGATCAGAGGAGAGAGTGGCTGACGGAAGGGTGCCAGAGGGAGGGGCGGAGATGGTTTGAAATGGTAACCTAGGTCTACCTTCGATTATTGTAAAAGTACAGAAATGTAATTTCCCCCCCCATAGGCAATTGAAGGTCATGCTGTGTTGTTTAGGTTTACAGTTTAGCTCAAGAAGCTGTTTTTCTTGTCTGTACGTGCAGCTTCTTTCCCAACGATTAGGACACACTGCCATCATGTGGCTCAGTGTATGCATGATCCCAGCTTACGCTGCTGAATGTTCTATCACGTTGTTTAATAATTAAACCAAAGAACACATCTCTGAATTCAAACAGCTGAGGTAAAGCAATGTTACCCTGTAAAAAAGGACATTTTCTATAAAGTGGTTCAAAAAATCAATACCTGGGTTTGATGATCTGATTTCTTACTTTGCTTTTAAAACTCTAACCTGGCCAGGTATGGTAGACTGTAATCCCAGCACTTTGGGAGACTGAGGTGGAAGGATTGCTTAAGTCTGGGAACGTGAGAACAGCATGTGCAACATACTGTGACCCCCTCTCCACAAGAAGTGAACAAATTTAGCCAGGGGTCGTGGTGTAGAGTCTGTAGTCCCAGCTACTCGGGAGGTTGAGGTGGAGGATTGCTTGAGCCTGGGAGGTCGAGGCTACAGTGAGCCTTGATGGTGCCACTGCCCTTTAGCCCGGACAAGACCCCGTCTCTAAAAATAAATAATGAAATAAAAATAAAATTCTAACCTAAGTGTTTAGAGGTTCTGATCTCAAGGATCTCAAGACACACCTTAGGAAAGTGGCCCCACCGGTTTCTCCAGCCTGGCGTGTTGTTGTGGTCTCTTGTTTTAGAATCCTAAGTTTTCTGTCCCTGCAATGGTTCTGCCCTTTTCAGGGTAGTTTGCATCAAGCTGCCTCCAGGACATTTCCTTTAACCGCGCCAGATTTTGTTTCGGCGCCAGATTTTGTTTCGGCGATGGGATTATTCTCCCTGGAGCTTCCACAGTTGACAAACCTAAATTCAAACATTTATACCTTTTTTTTTCTCTCTGAGCTTCAGTTACTACATCTGTAAAAGAGGAACACCACCAGCCGGGTGCAGTAGCTCACACCTGTAATCCCAGCAATTTGGGTGGCCTAGGCAGGTGGATTACCTGAGGTCGGGAGTTCGAAATCAGCCTGGCCAGAGGGCGAAACCCTGTCTCTACTAAAAAATACAAAAATTAGCTGGGCGTGGTGGCAGGTGTCTGTATCCTAGCTACTCAGGAGGCTGAGGCAGGAGAATTGCTTGAACCCAGGAGGTGGAGATTGTAGTAGCTGAGATCTTGTCACTGCACTCCAGCCTGGGTGACAGAGTAAGACTCCGTCAAAAAAAAAAAAAAAAAAAAGATGACACCTGTAGGGTCCAGCCCTACAGGGTCCTTTGAGCTCCTCTCTGCTGGTGTGGAGACAAGAAATTGTAGAAATAAAAGACACAAGACACAGAGTTAGAGAAAAGAGTTTGGACCCATTGGTCCACTGCCAACCAAAGCTTGGAGTTTGGCAGTCGCCCGGAATGCCAGGACACTATGACTTTTATTGAGTTGCAAATCTGGGGGCAGGGTAGTTAGGGTGTGGCCTTGGTGGTCTGCAATTGGGGGCAGGGTAGATAGTGTGTGGCAGTGATAGGGTCAAGTACATCACCTGTTATACAGGTAGGGCTCAGGAATTTCTAGTAGCCGAGATGAGGTAAGGAGCATAATGTGTCAGCACTTTTCCATACTTGTTAAGAAAGAACAAAGACATTAAGATTTATATTACTTTTACTGATTATCTCTTCTAAAAAAAAAGGAAATAGGTACAGAAGGGGAACATCAAAGTAGACATGGGATGTGACCACTGAAGCACAGCACCACACAGATGCATGGCAGAGGGCTTAAAGCGGCTTGCCTTAGGGTCATTTCTTTCACAATGTCGCCCCAGGTTCACACTTCCAACCTGAGAGGCATGAGTAAAAGAATTCAAATCACCTATGAATAACTAATAACTACTACAATTATATTTTTAGTTACTTTCTTCTTCATTATTTAGATGGAAATAGGCTGAGGCTTGTGGCTTCTGCCTCGGCGTTTACCGTTTCCGGGATCTCCTCCCTACAGACACCTTCATAGGGTCAAGGTGGAAGGATAGCAGTGCCTGGCACATTGCAGGTCCTCACATTGAGGGAGTCCTGTTTCATCCCTCTGTCCTTGAGGGCCTGTCATTTTTATTTTATTTATATTTATTTATTTATTTTTGAGAGGTAATCTCTGTCACCCAGGCTGGAATGCAGGGTGCAATTTCGGCTAACTGCAACCTCTGCCTCCCGGGTTCAGGCAATTCCCCTGCCTCAGCCTCCCAAGTAGCTGGGACTACAGGCATGCACTAAGACGCCTGGCTAATTTTTATTTTATTTTTTTATTTTTAGTAGAGAAGGGATTTCACCATGTTGGCCACCCTGATCTCGAGCTCCTGACCTTAGGTGATCCACCTACCTCAGCCTCCCAAAGTGCTGGGATTACAGGCGTAAGCCACTGCACCTGGCCTGGGGGCCTGCTATTTTAAGCACAGAGCAGGCACGCAGTGGAGGTCTATGATTTGATATCGAGATTTACCTGGTCCTCAGCAACGTTCTTGAGGCTCAAGCCTGTAATCCCAGCACTTTGGGAGGCCGAGGCGGGTGGATCACGAGGTCGAGAGATCGGGACCATCCTGGTCAACACGGTGAAACCCCGTCTCTACTAAAAAATACAAAAAATTAGCTGGGCATGGTGGCGCGTGCCTGTAATCCCAGCTACTCAGGAGGCTGAGGCAGGAGAATTGCCTGAACCCAGGAGGCGGAGGTTGCGGTGAGCCGAGATCGCGCCATTGCACTCCAGCCTGGGTAACAAGAGCGAAACTCTGTCTCAAAAAAAAAAAAAAAAAAAAAAAAGAGAACAAAACTACTCATCCCCTCAGGCTTTTGGGACCACTTCTATTTCCACGCGTTGGCGGTGGACCCCGGGCTCACTGGCGTTTGCAATCCACGAGTCTCCCCTGTGCGCAGCAGGAGGCAGGTGCATGGGTGTGGGCAGGGCCCCGCGGCATTCATTCCTCGCTGCTCCCTCCCCGGAGCTCCGGGTTGTGTGCGTACATAATTCAATCCCCGTGGGACTGGAGTCTGGCCTCACCTGCGGCTTGGCGGATTGGCTGTCACAGCTCTCCCCCTCCCTCCATACCCCCCGCGTCCCAGGTGGCTCAGGCCCCCGGGTGATTTCTGTTTACCAAGAGAGCTTGTCCAAGTTGGGCTCCATCTCTGCCCTAGCTCCCCTTTGGGGCCCCCGCCCGCCTGGGAAGTGGAGAGAAAGCCGGGCCCAGCCATTCCTCGCCCTTCCCCTCCCTGCACCACCCCCCGGAGAGGTCGGGTAAGGGGGACGAGTGTGTGTGGGACTGGGAGCCCTAGGCCTGGGGGATCTGGCTGTCCTCATCCCGGTGCGTCGCGCGGACCCGGGAGTTCCAGCCGGCGGACTGGCTCCGACTCCCTCCGCCCCGCGCCGTCGCTCTCAGGGTGACGGGCCCACCCCGGACGAGCAGCCAGAGGCTGGATCTCAGGGATGCCAGCTCCCCAGCGAAAGCACAGGCGTGGAGCCTTCTCTCACAGGTGTTTCCACACCCCCGCAGACGGCGATGACCCCCCAGCCCGCCGGACCCCCGGACGGGGGCTGGGGCTGGGTGGTGGTGGCCGCAGCCTTCGCGGTGAACGGGCTGTCCTACGGGCTGCTGCGCTCGATGGGCCTGGCCTTCCCTGACCTTGCCGAACACTTTGACCGAAGTGCCCAGGACACTGCGTGGATCAGCGCCCTGGCCCTGGCGGTGCAGCAGGCAGCCAGTGAGGGGGGCCCTGAGGCGGGAGACGGGAACGGGGTGGAGAGGCTGCGAGTGGAGGGATAGGAGACCCACCTGATTATCCAACAACCTGAGAAAGGGCTACCGGCTCCAGAAAAGAGTGCACCTTTAGGTCCAGGAGAGGAATCATTAGTTCGAGGGAGGCAAACAGCCAATGAGAAGTGTTAGAGTTTGGGGGCCCAGGGGCGTGTCTTCCATTGATCCCGCCCCCTTCCAGGCCCCGTGGGCAGCGCCCTGAGCACGCGCTGGGGGGCCCGCCGGGTGGTGATGGTTGGCGGTGTCCTCGCCTCGCTGGGCTTTGTCTTCTCGGCTTTCGCCCGCAGTCTGCTGCACCTCTACCTCGGCTTTGGCCTCGTCGCTGGTGAGGGAAGTGGGGTGCCCGCGTCATTCGGGGTGAAGGTGGGGACCGGAGCTTGTTGGGACCTGGGGTAGTGAACGAGGTGGGGGGCCTGGTGTGGAGGGCGGGGCTGGGAATGCTGGGGCGGGTATCCCCCGGGCCAGCCTCATCCCCTCCCATTCATTCGCAGGCTCTGGCTGGGCCCTGGCGTTCGCCCCTGCTCTGGGCACCCTCTCCCGATACTTCTCCCGCCGTCGAGTCTTGGCGGTGGGGCTGGCACTCACCGGCAACGGGGCCTCTTCGCTGCTCCTGGCGCCCGCCTTGCAGCTTCTCCTCGATACTTTCGGCTGGCGGGGCGCTCTGCTCCTCCTCGGCGCGATCACCCTCCACCTCACCCCCTGTGGTGCCCTGCTGCTACCCCTGGCCCTTCCTGGAGACCCCCCAGCCCCACCGCGTAGCCCCCTAGCTGCCTTTGGCCTGGGTCTCTTCACACGCCGGGCCTTCTCAATCTTTGCTCTAGGCACAGTCCTGATTGGGGGCGGGTACTACGTTCCTTACGCTCACTTGGCCCCCCACGCTTTAGACCGGGGCGTAGGGGGATACGGAGCAGCGCTGGTGGTGGCCGTGGCTGCGGTGGGGGATGCAGGTGCCCGGCTAGCCTGCGGCTGGCTGGCAGACCAAGGCTGGATGCCTCTCCCGCGGCTGCTGGCCGTGTCCGGGGCTCTGACAGGGCTGGGGCTGTGGGCGGTGGGACTGGTGCCTGTGGTGGGGGGAGAAGAGGGCTGGGGGGGTCCCCTGCTGGTCGCAGCTGTGGCCTATGGGCTGAGCGCCGGGAGTTATGCCCCGCTGGTTTTCGGTGTCCTCCCTGGGCTGGTGGGCATCGAAGGTGTGGTGCAGGCCACCGGGCTGGTGATGATGCTGATGAGCCTCGGGGGGCTCCTGGGCCCTCCCCTGTCAGGTAAGGACCTGAGCCCGTAGATCCACTTATAACTATCCTCCGCCCCTGGGCTTCAAGGCTTCTGAATTCCTTTACTCATCCTCCTAGGCTTCCTAAGGGATGAGACAGGAGACTTCACCACCTCTTTCCTGATGAGTGGCTCTTTGATCCTCTTCGGCAGCTTCATCTACATAGGGTTGCCCAGGACGCTGCCTTCCTGTGGTCCAGCCTCCCCTCCAGCCAGGCCTCCCCCAGAGAGTGGGGAGCTGCTTCCCACTCCCCAGGTTGTCTTACTCTCCCCAGGAGGCCCTCACCCCACTCTGGATACCACTTGTTGATTATTTTATTGTTTGAGCCCCTCTCCCAATAAAGTATTTTTATCAGGTTTTCCTGAAACCTCCAACTGTTCACCAACCTAGGACCCTGAAAACATTCTACTTAAAACAGCCAGAAAGGCTGGTTCAAAGGAACAGGCTCCCAGAAGGCCCTGGGGATGAAGAAGGGTTACTGTCTGTCCAGCCAACCCCTTTTTCTTTGCCCAAGTCCTCGCTGTAATAGGGAAGCTTTGAGAAGTTGTCTGCCAGCCAGTTTCAGTTTGTTCCTGGGGCTGGGGGTAGGTTGCTCGTGGGTGCTATCTGCCTCATCTTCATGTTTCTTACTCCACTACCCAGACCTCCCAGACTGACTCTCCCCTGCATTTCAATCTCCTTCCTCTTCTTGCTCTGTCACCCAGGCTGGAGTAAAGTGGCACGATCTCGGCTCACTGCATCCTCTGCCTCCGGGGTCCAGCGATTCTCCTGCCTCAGCCTCCTGGGTAGCTGAGATTATAGGCGTGTGCCACCACACCTGGCTAATTTTTGTATTTTCAGTAGAGAAAAGGTTTCTCCATGTTGGCCACGTTGGTCTCGAACTCCTGGCCTCAGGTGATCTGCCTGTCTCCACCTCCCAAAGTGCTGGGATTATAAGCGTGAGCCATCAAGCCCAGCCTCAATCTCCTTCTATGGGCCTGAGGGAAGTACAAGAATCCTGGGCCCAGACTTCAGCTTTATCTGCACTTTCCAAAGCTATCTGCACATCTATACCCTGTGTCCTCAGCATTTTCTCAATTTCTTTTCTAAGCCACAAGGATAATAGGGAAGAGAGAGGTATGCGGTGTGCAGGACAGCGGAGTCCAGGGGTTAAAATGCCTTGGGTCATCAGAGCTCCTGGGTACGCTCCCCCACTCCCAGGCATGACTCCATTCAGCCAGCCCAAGCATATGGGCCCCAGCTCATTTTGAGTTGTGATTATTATCTAATTTTCCTATTTGATTTTATCTCAAAGGGACATTCTTGTTTCCCAAACATGAGTGTTCCGAGAAGAAACGTAGGAGGCAACACTAGAGTTGGTATACAAAACATAAGTCTCTTGGCCTTTGATTTTCACAGTTGATTCACAGCTCAGTGAAGCAGGGACTCCTTGATGTTTAAAAACTTCTGGGTCCTTTAGAAAAGGTTAGGAGAGTAAAAGAGGAGAAATAAGAGTCCTCAAGAAAATACAAGAAAGGGTTGGCACACACTTTGCAGGAGCCCCAGGCCTGCTCTAGGGGGAGGCAGATCAAGGATCTTAAGGCACTGTGGTTGTGTGGAGGCCAAGATTTGGCAACAGAAGACCTGGAGCTGTCATGCTCTGACTTTCTGGGCCTGACTCCGTGAAGTTCAGTCCTCTTCCAGCCCTTCCTTGGGCAGGGGAACTTTAGTATCCAGTGCTTCTGTTACAAGGTCCTGGGGCCTGGAAGTAGCAGCTGAGAAGCAGGAGAAGTGGGGCAGGGTGATAAGAACTCCACTTCCTGAAAGAAGGAAGGCTCCAGCCACCACAAAGGAAGCCGTGTAGTTGCCTGTCACATCCCGGAGATAGCCTAGGTCCAAGAGAGAAAAACAGATACACATGGGTGATCTGTTCGCTGGGGCTGATATCAAGCTCAAACATTTTTGGGTGGAGGGAAGACTTATCATCTCAGAGGAGTTGGAACTCCCATGGAATAGTTGGATAAACTTGAGAACTCTGGTTTCCCAAAAGGGCCTCAAAAGTTAATTACCTCCCTGCCTTCAGAAAGGACCTCCAAACCAGCCTGCAGGTATCTGGAGATCCAGATGGAATCAGGCATACTTGTGTCTTTCTTTCTGCCAACTGTGGCCTTTCTAAACCTTCAGTTAATAGCTAAGAGGAGATAAGGGTCTGAAAGTTCTGGCACTCTGAGCCAGCAGAACTTTGACCAGGTGCCTCAGACACCTGGTTTAGGGCCCAGTCGGCCCAAGGTCAGGGTAGACACTGGAATGCTACATCTGTGTCTGGCCAGGTTCTGCCAGGTCTTCTGAAAACCCAAGGTGTAAGAGCCCTGCCAAGGGTACACTTAGTTTCTCTTTGTCTTTGCACTCAGACTTTCTCGGCCCCATGTTCTTTGCCCCTTGGACCTATTTCAGGATGCTATGGTTGGCCACGCAGGCTGTGTACCGTACTGCACCAGAGTACAATATTTATGGACACTGTAATGAGAATAGTAGCCTCCCCAGCTGGGTGCGGTGGCTCATGCCTGTAATCCCAACTAATCCTAGCACTTTGGGAGGCTGAGGTGGATAGATCACCTGAGGCCAGGAGTTTGAGACCAGCCAGGCCAACATGGCGAAACCCTGTCTCTACTAAAAATACAAAAACTAGCTGGGTGCAGTGGCGCAAGCCTGTAATCCCAGCTACTCAGGAGGCTGAGGCAGGAGAATCGCTTGAACCAAGGAGGTGGAGGTTGCAGTGAGTTAAGATCACGGCACTGCACTCCAGCCTGGGCGACAGA